GCAGGAGTAGACCGTGGCACTTGTCCAGCCAAAGAACTGAACAAATTCTTATCTTGAACATAAAGGACTTAAGACTTGTAATAGTCAAAGTATAAGACTGAAGGAAAACTGGAAAGGAAAATGAGGATTTTTAAGACATTTTCCTGAAAAAAGTTTCATTAAAAAAAAAAAACTACTAGCTGACAGTACAGGTTTACCCAACAAAACTTTTAAGTGAAAGGCTAAAACATTTTATGGTGTATTTATAATAAATAGAGTTTAAAAATACAACAAATGATTAACTATACCAATAATCTACCATTCATTCATTCAGAAACACTGAGTGAATATCAACCATGTGCCAGGTTATGGGAGCTGTAGATATAGAGGTGGAAACACCCTGCCTTCATAGAAGCATTTACATTGCATTAGAAGGGTCAGACAGTAAGCAAATCAATACTATGATTTCACAAATTTAAACACTACCTGTTTTGTTTTGTTTTGTTGGCTGGGGTTGGGGGTGGTTTAAAACAGCAGGATTTTGCCTCACAGAGAAAATAAAAACTATCAGGTAGGGGAATAACCCTTCACAGTCCTGTTGTCTTCCACCTTTTCCCAGCTACCCACTACCCGACGATCTTCTCTTCGGAATTCTTCTTATCCATTTCCTTAGACTATTTCTGTAGGCATCCTGTGGATGCTGTCTTCTCAGGCAGCCAGCTTCCTCCTCCTCTAGCATCTTCAACTTCTCACTCTCTCCTTCTACCTCCTCCGAGTGACATTAAATACATTCAAATCCTGACCTCCTTAAACAACTCTCTTCCTTAAAGATTTGTATACACTTGTCTCTTAAATACTCACCTTTCATTCAGTCCTGGATATACTTCTATCTGACTTCTGCCTCCACCACTCCAGTTAAATTGCTTTTGTTATGGTCGCCATCATTTTTTAAATTAAATATGACAAACACATTTTCAGTTCTGATCCTACTTTATCTTTGCAGTGTTTTACAATATTGATTTTTGCTTCTTCAAACTCTCACCCTTAGATACTGGCATGGCCTGATTTTCCTCCTATATAATATACACTGTAATGTGCATTCAAAGCACCTAGAAATCTTGTGAAAATCAGATTCTGATTCATCAGGCCTGGGGAAGGGCCCAAGAGGCATTGAGTATGGTCTATGGTTACTCAAAACAGACCAGCAGCACAGTTATCACCTGGAAGCTTACTAGAAACATAGACTCTCACTGCCCACCTTAGATCAAATGAATCAGAATCTGCATTTTAACAAGACCTCAAAGGGGTTTTATATGCACATTAAGCTTGAGAAGCATTAGAGACCAGTGGTTCTCAAACCTAAGCCAAGAAAACACAGATTACAGAGCCCAACCCTCAGAATTTCTGATACTATATAGGTCTGGGTAGAAGGTGCAAAATTCTGCATTTCTAACAAATTGTCAGATGATACTGATGTTGCTGGTCTGGGGACCATATTGTGAGAACCAATGGTCCTCAGCCTGGCTGCACATTAGAATCATCTGTGGAATTTGTTGGCATGTGGGGCCCAACCCTAGACCAATTAAACTAAAATCTCTGGGGATGTAGCTAGGTTAGGTATTTTTAAAAGCTCCCTTGCTTAATCTTAAGGTTTCTAATTTAGATAATTTAGGAGCGAGGGGGTGATGAAAAGACAATAGTGTAGGATGAATGCTGGTTAAATGACAGTACCATTATTACACCATATTATACTATAATTTCTTAAACATCTGCTCTACTCAACTCTGCCCTGTAAATAAGCACTAGAAATTTAACAGCCCTAGGCCATATCTCTCTAAAATGACCATAGGAGCAAAACAAATGATATTTAACTCTTAAAATTCACAGAACAAAAACCCACATTTGTAAGATGAGAAGTTTATAAAGATAGTATCAAAACTGAGCATTAAAGAGTTTTTGACCTAGTGCAACATTAGGGTCCTGAAGAAAGTCTGTGAGAATATTACGAAAGGAAATGTAATATTAAATGTATTTTTTTCGTTTTCACTAAAAATGAAAATAGCTTTATTTTTTTTGATTATATAAATAAATCCTCATTGTAAAACATACATGCACACACACACATCCAAATGTATAAGGAAGAAACTAAAACCAACTGAA